CATCTATGTGAGACAGACACATGGGGCTAGGGATCGAGTCTACAACCGAGGTACATGCCCTTGACAAGAATCAAACTTGTAACCCTTCAGTCTGCAGGCCAGCACTCTATCCACTGAGCCAAACCAGCTAGGACAACACTATATCCTTGTAATATATATTTAATCTTCTACCAGCATTGAAAAAGTGCCTATATCTTTGTATCTTTATGTATACTGATATTATCAGTCTTTTGAATACTTATTTATAAAGCTTTTATTGTCTTTTTGTATTTTGTTTGTGTATTTCCAGTTTATATAGCATCTGAATAATTCTTTTGGGTCATTTGTTTCTTCATAATTTGTACAATCTCTTTGACTATTCTGGATATTAACCCTTGCTCTGCTATATACTACAAATATATTTTAAAAACTGTTACTGGTGTTTTCACTTGTTAATAGTGTCTTTTGTTATACAGTTGTTGTGTTGTTTTTAATATACACATATCTGGCTCAGCCTGCATGGCTCAGTGATTGACCATCGACCTATAAACCAGGAAGTCATGGTTCAATTCCCGGTCAGTACACATGCCCAGGTTGCAGGCTTCATCCCCCATAGGGGGCATGTAGGAGGCAGCCAATCAGTGATTCTCCCTCATCATTGATGTCTCTCTCTCTCTCTCTCTCTCTCTCTTCCTGTCTGAAATAAAAATATACCATACACACACACACACATACACACACATATATGCAAATCTGTCAGTCCTTTCCTATATGATATCTGGGTTTTATGCTTTGGTAAAGCTTTTCTAGCCTGTGAATTTTTAAAATATTTTTCAAAATTTTCTTCTAATACATTTATAGTGTTGCTTTTTGTTTACCTTTGATATATTTGGAATTTATGTTTGTGTTTGGTATGTGGCAGGTGTTGTATTAGTTTCCTAGGGCTACCATAGCAAATTTCCACAGGGGGGATACATTATGACAATAGAAATTTATTTTCTCAGAGTCCTGGAGGCCAGAAGTCTGAAATTACATTGTCAGCGGGTTGAGTCCTTTTTGGAGGTTCTACAGGAGAAACTCGTCCATACCTCTTCCCTAGCTTCTGGCACTGCCAGCAGTCGTTGGCATTCCTTGGCTTATAGACACAGCATTCCAGTTTCCCTCTCTGGTTTTTTTTTGTGTGTGTGTTTTTTAAAAATATATTTTATTGATTTTTTACAGAGAGGAAGGGAGAGGGATAGAGAGTTAGAAACATCGAAGAGAGAGAAACATCGACCAGCCGCCTCCTGCACACCTCTTACTGGGGATGTGCCCGCAACCAAGGTACATGCCCTTGACCGGAATCAAACCTGGGACCTTTCAGTCCGCAGGCAGACTCTCTATCTACTGAGCCAAACCGGTTTGGCTCCCTCTCTGTTTTCACATTGCCTTCTCTCTGTTCCTGTGTCCTTTTCTGTCACTTATGAGTATACTCTCCTGGGATTTAGGGCCTACCCTAATCCAGTAAGGTCTCATCTCAATCCTTACACTAGTTGCATTTGCAAAGACATCATTTCTAAATAAGGTCACTTTCAGAGATACTAGGTGGACATGAATTGGGAGGGTTGGGCACTATTCAACTAATTTTATTTTTTCCAAAGGAAATTTAATGGTCGCAAACTGCCCTCCCCTGCCAGCCTGATCGCCCACAACTGCCCTCCCCTGCCGACCATCTTGTGTGTTGGAGTGGTGGTCAATTTGCATATTGCTCTTTTATTAGATAGGATTACATATTGTTTGAAAACAGTGATAGTTCTTTCTTTTTCTTCCCAGTGTTAAAATCTTTCTTGAAGGTTTGTGTATGTGCTGTTACATTGGCCAGGACCCCAATAGTAGAATGTTAAACAGCAGCAGATTGAGTGACCATAGTACTTAACATCTAAATAGAAAAAAAACATAAAAATAAACCAATCAAGCCAGAGATACCGCATAGAAAACAATGGACTTATGATACACAAAAGAAATAAAGTGGCAGGATTTTAACTAGCAAGTGTTCCCTGTACTTCACCTTGCACTAATATTATTTAAAACCTCCTAAATCCTTCTGAGACCTGTGCTAGGCAGCTCCACCAAGTTACCTGGCAACGTGGGAATTTGCTCTACCTGCAGGGCAATCAGCCTGGCTCTTAACTCAACAGTTCATTCAGCCTTTAGACTGACCATTACTAGTTTGTGAGGTCAGTCACTCATAGAACAGTGGTGACACTCAGCTGCCACATAAGCATGGCTGGTATGCTTGGGGCTGAGGTTCCTGGTGGTATATAAAATGAAGATTCCTTCCCAAAGAAGACATTTGAGCCCTTGTCACTAATCTGCTTTCTCTGCATTTTTTTAAGTTTCTGGCCATTTAGGTTTTCTCCTACAATCTTGCTGAGAACTAATTAACTGGTTGAAATTGGCTGTGCATGGTAAAAGCCGCTTCACAAAGAATGGTTTTTCCTTCATTCATTACTTAACAACTACCAAGCACCTACATAATTGTAGTTTACTAAATAGGTTAATAGAGCTCAACCTTTAAAAAGAAAAAAAACCTAGATACTTACATAGGAGCTTGGGTTTCTATAGATATTACGATGCCCACTCTAAAGGTAGAAACTGAGTGCTAATAGGATAGCAGTCTTCATGTTTTTTGTGTGATTTTTTAATGTTTTTATTTTATTTCAGAGAGAGGAAGGGAGAGGGAGAGATATAAACATCAATTATGAGAATCATTGATCAGCTGCCTCCTGCACACCCTTTTCTGGGGATCAAGCCCACAACCTGGGCATGTGCCCTGATGGGGAATCGAACCCTTATCTCCAGACTCACAGGTCGATACTCAGCACTGAGCCACACCAACCAAGCTGGAATGTTAATGTTTTTAAGGTAAAGTTTCCAGAACAAACCTACTCTCCCCAAGTTAAGATTTTCTTTCTTAAGCCCTGGCCCAGTAGTTCAGTTGGTTAGCGTCAATCAGATACACCAAGATTGTGGGTTCGATCTCTAGTCAGGGCACGTACAAGAAGCAACCAATGAATGCATAAATAAGTGGAACAACAAATCAATGTTTCTCCTTCTCGCTCTAAAAAAATTAATAAAAAAATTTAAGATGTTTAGAATTCCTTTCTTAAGTTATAACCTACTTTGAAAGACAATCTAACTCATTCAAATATCAAATTACTTTGCAAAAATTAGGTTTCTGAAAATTTTAATAAATTAAAAATGATTATAACTGAAATATTAATGTTCAAAATTAATTTAAAGCATAATTTCAATCAACTATATCATAAATTCATACAAAGAAAACTGGGGGAAGAATTCTATCAAAATGCTAATATCTGAGAACAGTATCTCTCAGTGATGGTATCAGTTGTGATTATTATTTTCCACAGTGGGCATGTTTTACTTTTTAACATATTACTTTTGTTTTTAATCCTCACCCAAGGATATGTGTGTGTTTTTATTACTGATTTTAGAGAGGAAGGCAGAGGGAGAGAAACATCGATGTGAGAAAGAAACCTCAGTTGGCTGCCTCCCATTCTCACTCCTGACCAGATCGAATCCACGACCTTTCATTGCATGGGAGAACGCTCCAACCCACTGAGCCACACTGGCCAGGGCTAACATATTGCTTTTATGATCAGAAAACTAAAAATACAATCACTGAGTTAAGTAAGCAAAGTAAGCCTTTTATGGAATTACTTATGAAACATGAAGATACTAAAAATGATTGATCGGATAATTCAGGATGGCAGCTGACTTTGCACTCCATTTGCTGGTTCTAACTCATTTCAAAGGTAATTTCTTCAATGGTTCAATGTCTTTGAATATTTTTTTTAAACTTGAGTTTAGAACTCACTACTTCTAATTAGGTGTGACTATCAGCAAACAAGCAAAACTTTGTATTTATAGGAAAGAAATGTGTATGTGAAAGTGCTTTAAAAAAAATCGAAAGCAATAACACAAAGGCAAGTACTATACAATCAATTCTTTGTGTAGATTATGCTTTTTATTGACAGGGGTCGTTATCATTGTGTACATAAGCAAAGACTTCCCTGTGGTGTGCAGCTGTGGTCACTGTTTGTAGAAGCCATGTGCCTGGGGTGTGACTGTGCTTCTTAGACTTAGTTTGCCTTTGCAAATAGTCCAGGACAAACCCGGGGAAGCTGCGGCTGGAGGCTGGCTAAGGCCAGGCCCAGGGCACCTTCAGTCTAATGGGTGTTTATTGAGAAGCTTAGCAGCAAGGAACTGTGTTGCGGTGATACCAAGATAAACACAAATAATCCCTTGCCTGTGCTCAACACATAGTTAACATGTATTTTTGAAAACATCCATCTAATCCTCACAGCCACCCTGTAAGATAGGTAGAGGACCCCCCCCCCCCCCATTTTACAGGAGGTTACGTCGTTCTCCCCATGCCACACAGCTTATGGGTAGCAGAGCCAGGACTGGAACTCAGGTCCTCTGATCCTAACCCCAGTGCTGTACGCCATGGCTGCCCCCTGGACCAACAGTCCCTACCTGACCATCAGAGGTACACAGTCTGAAGGGGAAACACATATACAGATATCAGTCAGTGCAAAGCCATATTGGTAAGTTGTTTTACAGAGTGCAAAGTGCAGGAGAAAAAAAGAGAAGGGCCATTAATTTCCTCCTGGCCACATTTTCAGTCCTAAGAACAAGTTGTAAGTCAGTTTATCATTCTGCACCTAAGTTTCTAAATCTATAAAGTGAAAATAATATGTTCGCCTACCTCACTGAGTTATTTTGAGAACCAAGTGGGATAATATATGAAAATTATAAAGGTATATATAGGTATAAAGTGGTGCTAATAACAGCAGCATCAGAGCCCATAAACCTCACTGTATATATTTATATTTGTGAGTAAATAATTAGAAACAGTGCTTGCTAATCAGAAACTACATTGTGAAACAGTATTATTCTTTCCTTTCTTATCAAGTTTAAAGGCATTATAATCATTAATCACATTGACCTTGAAGGCAGAAAGTACTGAATTCAAATCCCAACTCTGCCACCAGCGGTGGGAGATTGGACAATATGTTCATTACTCTGGGTCATACATACACAGTGAGGATAATATATTTTTTCATGAGGACCCAATGAGATGATTCATGCAAAATGTTTACTATAGTGCCTGGCACATAGTAAATACTCAATAAACATTAGCTTTAAAAGGTATCAAACATTTGTTGAGCACTTGCAATGTACCAGGCCTAACTTGGGAAACAAAATGAAAATAGACGGTCCTGTTTCAAAGAGATAACAGTTTGGTAGAGAAACATACATACAAATAAAAAAAAAAAAAACATGCTCACTACTCAAATGAAAACATCACAGGCAGGTTAGAAAATGAACTTATACATCTGCCTGGAAAGACAGGTAAATAGAAATCTTGGAAGAGGAGGAAGCATTTGACTCAAGATGAGTAGAGGGGAGATGAGGAGAGACCTTTTGAAGGGTGAGTAGAAGTTTGCAGTGCTGTTTATTTGGCTTTATCATTTGCCCACAGTGGTTTGATCCCTTGAAAAGTCAAGACTCATGTTTATGCTTGTTGGCCTTCTGGTGATTCAATCTAGACATTCTGGTGACTTCATGAGCATGGTGTTAGAAACACATTTTACCTGCTATCTTCTATATGTGAAACATCTGTTTGTTTTCATTTGATAGACTCCTTAAGAGCTGTACAAACAACTTCTTACATAGGAGATAATTGGTCCTGCCACTTAAAAGTGTTAGCATCCTTGGTACGTGTTGCTGATCCCATTACGGAGAGAAGGCAGGGAGGACTTGTAACCACTTGCCTCTGGAAAAGCAGGAGTGACCGGGATAAATGGGTAAGGAATACAAAGTGGAATGCACCCTGGGGGCTGGGGGAGGTTGTTGAGGGCGGGCTAGGAGAGGTCAATGGGGGGAAAAAGCGGACATATGTGATACTTTCAACAATAAAGATTTTAAGCCGAAACCGGTTTGGCTCAGTGGATAGAGCGTCGGCCTGCGGACTGAAAGGTCCCGGGTTCGATTCCGGTCAAGGGCATGTACCTTGGTCGTGGGCACATCCCCAGTAGGGGGTGTGCAGCAGGCAGCCGATCGATGTTTCTAACTCTCTATCTCTCTCCCTTCCTCTCTGTAAAAAATCAATAAAAAGTATATTTTAAAAAAAATAAAGATTTTTTAAAAAAGTGGAATGCACAAGGATTATATCTTCTGGAGAGAATGGAAAGTTTACAGCTAACTGTCCTTTGTCCACATGCAAATGTGAAAATACAGAAAGCTTTGTATTGGCCAGATACCTTGCTACCAAACTCAAGTGTCTTTCTCATCTCACCAAGTGTGTTAGGGAATTTGGGAGTTAGAGATGTTGCCCTAAGTGAAAGAAATTTCACACTTTTCTTTGGACTTTCTGCTTGCTAAGTATTGGCTAAATCCCTCATCTGAACGACATACTGGAAGAGTTAAAAAGATGTGTTTATATCTGTTTCTACACCAGTAACTACCATGTTATAGAAATTTAACTGATATTGAACAGAAATCATCTTTTACTTTATAATCTCATATAATCTTGCCTCATATAATCTTTTGATTTTAGAGCTGGAAGAGCCTTAAAGAGCTTGTCATTCATCCTCTTTGTTTCACAAATGAGGCAACAGTGGCCTAGAGGCTGAGAAGTGTTGTTCCAGACAGAGTCTTCTATGGGGCTTTTTCCAGCCTTTTGCATGAAGAGACCTATAGTACTTATTCATTGCAGTAGACATAAATGAATGGTGTTCTTCCCACATTAGCTGAGAAAGATACAGACCAAAGGAAAGTAAAACTTTGGTAAGCCCCAAGAGGGAGAGAAGCCAGTAATACTGAAGTTACTGTACTGGCCCATGTAATTGGTGCTGAGTGCGAGTGAATCAGATTCCAATCCACTCAAATTTAGGGCACCTGGCCCGGAACTTTTAACTAAGAGCCGTTGTCAACAGCAACAAAACAGTCACCAAGACTGGGCAGTACCTTGACCCAAAGCCAAGAGGCAGGACCACAGAAAGTCTACAGACGTGATATTCCACTTCCATGTGCACATCACATCGCAAGAGGAACTGCTGGTTCCGTGGCAGGATTTAATGTTCGGCGCGATCCCCTCTGGAGAAATGGCAGCAGTTGGCAGGGCACGGAAAAGCCTTCTTTGGCAGAAAGGCCATTTCCTTCAGACTCCTGTTTGGAACAAGATGCACCGAAGTTGATAAGCCAGGCCACGGATAAGCGTAGAGCCACAAGCTCACCCACCCTTTCCTTCCTTTCCTCAAGGAGGGACGCCCACCGCTCCGCTCCAACGGGGCACTGCTCCTGCCGGGAGGGCTCGTCCACCGGATGGTAGGAGCTCTCCACGGAGTACATCCTTCTACCTGGCTTTCTCGGCCCCCCACTGGCAGCCCGCCCCCTTCGCCTGGAGCTGGGGGGGAGAGGAGGGCGGTGGCAGATGCGGGCACTTCGTCTGTCGGGCTGGTTCCGGAGGGAGGAGGAAAGCTTCCGTGGCGACTGAACTGCAGCCCCCAGAGCCTCTGCCCGCCCCATCATTGCCTGGGCCGCCAGGCAGCGGCGGGTCCCGGCGCAGCATCAGCGCGCTCGGAGCCCACCGGGCCGCCCGCCGCGGACCCCACCCCCCCGCCCCCGCCCGGGCAGCAGCTCGCCCCCGCGCCCCGCTCGCGGCCGGCCCGGGAATCCGGGGAAGCCTCTGGGCCCAGGGGCGGTGGCGGCGAGACCCCGCCCCGGCCCGCGGCCCGCGCCTATCGCGGCCGCCGGTCAGGTCACGCGGAGAGTGGCGGTGCGGGCTCGGGGCCAGCGCCCCGCGGCTGCCGGAGTCGCGCGGGCCGGGGCGGGGTGCAGGGCGGAGGGTGGAGGGTAGAAATAGGGGCGGGCGGGCCGCGGCAGTCTCGGAGACCAGCGGAGTCGACCTGAGCCACGCCGAGGGCGCCGAGCGAGCGCCGAGCCCGGAGCACCCATGCTGCTGACGCTGGCCTGGGGCTCCCTCTTCTTCCCCGGGCTCTTCGCGCTCTGCACCTGGGGGCTGCGCCGCGCGCGGCCCGAATGGACCGATTACGACTGCGTGATGATCAGCACCAGGTACTCGGCGAGGCTGGCGACGCCCGCCCCGCCCGGCCGCAGCGCGATCTGCCCGGACCCGCCTGCGCCCGCCCCTGCGCCCAGCGAGGGGGGAAGGGGGGGCGACAGGAAGCGAGGGGGCTGCCTCCCTAGTTCCTTGCCCCTCTCTGCGGCCCTGGCCGGGGCTCTGGAAGACCCTGTCCTGGAGGGAGAGGGAGCAGGGCGGAGGGCTGCCCGCGCTGGTCAGGATGGGGAGGGAAGCCTGCTACATGTCCGCCAGCTGCCCTGGGGATCGGGAGCGCGGTGGCGGCCCTACCATTTTCCTCCCGGCGCTGGCAGCCTGGGGGACAGTGACGTTCAGGAGTTTGGGCCCCGTGCTGGATTTAGAGCGCTCCACCCACCCTTTTTCTTTTCTGCCGCATCTTAGGGTGGTTTCTTCGGCGCAGGCTGTGTTCGCCACCGGGTCAGGGATCGCCATCATCCGCTCCTGTAAGAACGTGGTCACCGACAGGTAACAACATCCAATGCCAGGTGAAAGAAGTACAGATATCAGCGCCGAACTTTTTCGAAGTGTGCACATTTTAGTGGCACACAGACACTATTTGTTTATGAGTACACGCTGTTGGATAGGCGGTTAATGGGAAAACTTGGGTGCCATAATTAGTTCCCACCTCCTCTCCTTACCCCTTTCTGCGGGCCACCTTAGGGGAAAGTAAACGAAGAAATGTTAGAGAATGACAGAGTCTAAGCCTGCTTTAAGGTAACATGTAAGAAGACGGTGTGGTCCATTGACCCAAGTTATTTATGAGATAGATACCTTTGGAAATGATTCAGAAGTGAGTGTGGCTTCTAGTTCATTTAAGTCACCCCACTGGGGTCCTGCTCTGAAGCATTCATTGGCCAAGGTATGTGCATTGTGGTTACCAGAGCCTTACAAATGCTGCTCTTTCTTGTCTCCTATGGATTTGCTCAAGGTGGTGAGGAGGTTTCAGGTGCTTTCAGAAAACTGACTTGTCTGTGTTAGAGCTCAGTCCAGAGGCATCAGGAAATGCGCATCTAGTGGACTGAATCATAAAGACTAGGGTGGTCTACTTTGTGTAGTATGTATGTAGACCTGGGCAATGGGTGTTTTGTTTTTGAAGCCTTTTTTGTTGTTGTTCACCTGTCTTCCTAGAACCACTCTTGCTTTCTCCCAGTTAAGTTGAAGAGCGACAGTCAATGTACAGGGAAAGTCTGATAGCAGAGTGTCCTCTTTTCACCTGTTGAGACTGCAGTAGGAGGAGAGCCTGAGTGGGGTATCTGTCTCACTGGCCTGCAGATGTAGTGCCTGGATCTTACTTGGGATTAATGCTGCCATCATGATTTTTGTGCTTTTCTTGGTGATGAATTGTAGGTGCTGAGAGAAAACAGGTCAGGAGACTTTGATTGCATGTGCAAAGGATTGACAGCATTTGCTTGGCCGGGTTCAATTTTTATTGTAATCTAATGGAGCACTCTGTGATCACCTGGCAAGCTCCCTCACTGCCCCCACCCAGTTTGTCAGCCCAAACTTGAAACCAGCCTCTTTTGCAAAGATTAAGACAAATGTGGCTCAGCACTATCTTGAGCTGACAGGAGGGCAAGCAGCAGGCAACCAATACACATTTTAGAAAGAGATATTTGCGCATACTTAACTTTCAGTTCTGTGGCACCACGGTTATGTTTCCCCCTTAGAAACAGTGTGTTTTAATGGTAAGAATCCTGAGTTTGGTTTTCAGGTCCCTCCTTTTATGTATCTTTACGCCCCAGGGGTGAGGAATGTCCAGCTTAAGGCCTGTGAAATAATTTGGTCTGCTCCTACCAAGGCATTAGGGGTGAGTTAATTAAATGTTTGGCCAAATATAGCAGGCTACTTTTTTTTTTTTAATATATTTTATTGATTTTTTTACAGAGAGGAAGGGAAAGAGACAGAAAGTTAGAAACATCGATGAGAGAGAAACATCGATCAGCTGCCTCCCGCACACCCCCTACTGGGGATGTGCCCGCAACCAAGGCACATGCCCTTGACCGGAATCGAACCTGGGACCCTTGAGTCCGCAGGCCGACACTGTATCCACTGAGGCAAACCAGTCAGGACAGCAGGCTACTTTTTAAGTTGATAATTTTGTATGGCCTGTGAATGATGTTATAAATATCCATATGGCCCTTGGCAGAAACAAGGTTCCCCATCCCTACCTTAGATTCTTTGCTCCTAAAATGGAGACAGATACATTTCTGTGCCCATTACCTTCACATGGATGCACAAGGATGCTCTAACTGCACCTAGATCATTTTTAAAAAAGGCCTTTGGGGGCTCATATCCTATATACCCCAATATTTTTTATTACATACCTTTTCACTTTATGCCTTGATGTAGACTGTCTATAAATAAGGGAGTGTCTATAAATCTCCCCAATTTATATGCAGAATGTGGTACAGGGCCAAGTATTTCATTATTCTTTTTTTTTTTTTTTTAATATATTTTATTGATTTTTTACAGAGAGGAAGGGAGAGAGATAGAAAGCCAGAAACATCGATGAGAGAGAAACATCGATCAGCTGCCTCCTGCACATCTCCTACTGGGGATGTGCCTGTAACCCAGGTACATGCCCTTGACCGGAATCGAACCTGGGACCCCCAAGTCCGCAAGCCGACGCTCTATCCACTGAGCCAAACCGGTTTTGGCAGTATTTCATTATTCTTAAAGAGGTCTACATTGCTAACAGGGCTGAGAGTCACAGCTCTAGGCAGTTTTCTCAATTTAAGCATCTATATTTGGAGTAGAGACCCAGTGCACGAAGCACGAGTAGGGTCCCTAAGCCTGGCTGGCAATCAGGCCCAATCTGTGGGGTGACTGGCAGGGCCCCTGCTGGCACCCACCTTAGCTGGCCTGGGACCTGAAGGTTGAGGGCAGCTCCTGCATTGAGCGTCTTCCCCCTGGTGGTCACTGTGTGTCATAGTCAGCGGTCGGTCTGCCATTCAGTCGATTTGCATATTAGGCTTTTATTATATAGGATATATAGGATAGTATTTTTTACATTTAAAAGGATTTTCACATTTTTAGTTTTTTTTGAATTTTTACAATAACTTTGTCAGGGAAGTAGGAAAAGGATTGTTATTGTCATTTTTATAAAGAAAGCTAAGTCCCAGGCTAGAGGTAATTATTATTACAATCTAGATCTTGTAAGAGAGAATTCTACCAAGCAGCCACAATTTCAGATCTTATTGAATTGGTACTGTATGCAAAATATTAAAACCCTAGGTCCACTCACAGGGAGAGGCCAGTTATATTTCAGATCAGCTTTTAATAGCTCTTTATAGTTATTTAACTTAGAATTGCTTTAAGGATGCAATGGAGACCATAGACAGGCAGCAGAATAAATAAATATTGCATTTTCTTGCCTAAATGGAATTCGGCTAATTCATTCACCTGCATATATGTTATATTTTCTATCCTTACTTGTTTGCCTGTTTCATTGTTTATTCATTATTGAGTTATGCTGTGGTAAGTGTGGAATCATTAGGTAATGGTACATATACCATTAAGAGTCTTTGGGGTAGGTGCTTAACAAGCACTGCAGGTGATTCTGATGTTCAGGTAGTTTGAAAACCATAAAACTAAATTGTCTCTTCTTGGTATTTAGTGAATCTAATCCTTCCCAGCATAAGATATAATTTCAGTTTATATGTTTTTATCCACATCAATTTTCTGTAGAATTATGACTTATCATTTGGGAACAAAATTACAGAAATTATAGACTTCCCTTCTAATTTTCTCTAGGACAGTGATAAACTATCATTTTGACACAGCAAATATTGATTCAACCCCTTTGGGGAAGTAAATGGGAACAGTGTCTTTTCTCCCAGTTTCTCTTTGGTTATCTGACTGCTGTAAGGTAGTCCTTGAGCTCCGGGCTCATAACCAGACATATTTTTCTTAATGAGTGGAACTGGGATTAGCCATAGAATTGTAAAGAATATGGCCAGGGTTGCTTGCCAGCAACTCCCTAGAGTGAGGTTACAAGCAGATGCAAGAGGAAACTCCCAGCTGTTGAGCAACAAGTGGAGTTAAACTGGAAATATTGGATTGGGATTCGGGACACCTTCCAAACCAGTTTCTTGGCGGGGCTGTTGAATCATTGGTAGAGATATCTATATCAAAGTCAGCTATATCACAAAATGCCAGAAAATCCATTACAAATGAGTCGCTAAACCAGGCAAATAGTGACAGCTAGTCACTTAAACACATGGTGCTTTCTGCTTTTGACACAGATTTTCTCTGTAATTTAGAAAAAGTTGTTCACCCTATCAACTTCATCATCCTATCCTATAAAATAAAAGCCTAATATGCAAATGGACCAAACAGCAGAAGACCAGTGGAATAACCAGTCACTATGACACACATTGACCACCAGGGGGCAGACACTCAATGCAGGAGCTGCCCCCAGCCAGTAGGCCCCAGGCCAGCCAAGGCAGGTGCCAGCAGGGGGGACCCCCCCGAATCACCCCACCGGTTGCCCTACAGATCTGTCCTGATTGCCAGCTAGTCCTACGGACCCTACCCATGCATGAATTTCATGCACTGAGCCTCTAGTATTCATCATAAAGTATTTGGAGCAAAGACATGTAAGGAAATGTGTTTGAGAAGAGGTTGGTTTTAAGCCACCTTCATAATTGATATTCATAATTATTTCATGGACCACTTATATGCTTTCTTTCAGGCACTGGCTTGCCCAAGAATATGTCTGGTTTTTGATTCCATATATGGTCTACGACATCTACGCCATGTACCTTTGTGACTGGTACCGAATCAAAGAACAGAACCGCAGACACTCCCTCATCATTTTTCGAAACTTCCTAAGTAAAAACCGCCTCATGATCACGCACCATGTGGCCATTCTGTTGGTCCTTGTGCCAATTGCACAGGTATCAGCTGCCTTGGTCACTCATGTCTCCTGTTGATCTGGGTATCATGACCAATACTTAGGAGTCAGGATTGCTCCTCTCTTCCTTCACTTTCCTACTTCACCTGTTCTCGTATGCCAGCTGCTTCTGCAGTTAAATCCCCAGATTAATCATGTAGAGATGTGATCCTCCTTGCCAGCAATCCCCCAGCCCTTTATGATTCCTTAGTCTTTGCCAGAGGTTCTGTCTTTAGTTTGTACAATATAAAGACAATATAAAATACAACATAAGAATTTTTAAAAATGAGACCGGTTATTTGCTCAGTCAACTGGTTATTTGCTCTAACAATGCCAGAGAGTACTGTGTGCATTATTATTACTTATGTTACAAAAGCAAGCTCTGAAAGCAAATAGCCGCATAATTTCTCCCTAGATCCATTTTTCCCATCAAAACTTCACCGAACAAGGAAGAAATGGGAATGCAGAGAGGAAATTCGTATTTTTGAGTGCCTGCCAAGTGATAGGCACTTGATTTAAAAGCTCATAGCTTTCTGCTAATAATTAGAAATGATCAGGAATAATTAGAAATAACATTATAAATTGTTAGCACTATAACGTGTATGCGGCCCACCGGCCACGAGTTTGACATGCTTGAATTGGGGCTCTAAGAGTTGATGTAGCTCACTCTGGTACTACTTGAGCTGCTATTCTCTGCTATACTACTTTCTTGAAAAGATATACAGGTACCGTGTACTACATTCTTTAAGAAGTCTGCCCAACATCTAGCACAGGGTTCTGACACATATTTTGTTGAACTGACTTGGCTAAGTGCCCTTGGCATGACTAAGTTAGAAACCCAAAAGTAGGCTGCAGAGTTCCTTCTGGCCAACATGGAAATTCTAAGAAAGCTTGATGTGTGATGCAATCAGCTATCAGAAGTTGCCTCTGGATCCTAGCAATTCGACCATCAAAGTTCCATTGCTACGGAAGCAGCAGAGTATTAAATGGGTCTACACTTGTCCATGTAGCATTTCCTTTTCCCTTCATGGTCTGTCATGGTCTTTTTCAGCAGCCCTAGAATTTCCTTCCAGTGGTTCCTTAAACTGCATATCATATTTCCCTGTTTCGTCTTCTCACCTGCAGAGGTTTAGGGGAGAGCTGGGGGACTTCTTCGTTGGCTGCATCTTCACAGCAGAACTGAGCACTCCATTTGTGTCGCTGGGCAAAATTCTGATTCAGGCACGTATGAATGAAATGGCAGAAACAGTGCCGGGGGGAGAGGGGGGTACAGACTCTGTTTTTCCTTGGTAGATTGTGAGGTTTAGAGAAATCCCTTAATGCTAGGAATAGTGGAATAGGAGACCCTTGAACAGACTTAAAGGTCCATTGATCTTCCAAGCCAGTGGGGACAAAATTGTAAGTTTGATTCAAATTTGATACAGTCCTTAATGTATTTTTTCCCAGGCCATAGATTTTCTCTCATCCTGTGTTCCTATCAGCTGGGGTGGCTTCAGCATCACAGCTGAAACACCTACAAGGCTATATGCACATACAGATATTGCCATGCTCAATCAACTTTTCCAAGTGTTAGAAAGCTAGATGCCTGAACTTTACTACTGTGGGACTTGAGCTAGTTATTTCCTGAAGGCCCAACCTCTTCATGACTCTGCATTCTCCTTCCCTCTTTTGCAGCTAAAGAAGCAGCACACCCTTCTGTACAAGGTGAACGGAATCCTCACGCTGACCACCTTCTTTTCCTGTCGGATCCTTCTTTTCCTCTTCATGTATTGGTCCTATGCCCAACAGAAGGACATAAGCCTGTTCCAAGTGCCATTCAGGATCCCTGTCTTCTGCAATGTGGCCAATGCCTTCCTCATCGCTCCCCAGCTCTACTGGTTCTCTCTGCTGTGCAAGAAGGCAGTCGGGCTCTTTGATACTCCCCCAGCCGAAAAGGATGGATAAGTGCTCCCAGGAGTCAGGCAGTGAGGGTGCCTCTTCATACTAGCTGCCTCTTTCACTCAGTATTCCACGGACCAAATTGTGCCCTGGATGGCCTCAGCCTTTTGGGTATTGATAAGTAGATGGGTATTGAGTTTTTCTAAAGAATATTACCTCCCTCTTCTAACCTGCCCCTTTTGCAAAAGCACTTTTTGTAATAACAACTGTTGGATACTGTCAGACCTCCATTGGCAGTAAGGTGGTTTTGCCCAATGAGCCTTCCTTGGATCTTATCTCAAGGGCTCTGGGAGGTAGAAGCATGGGGTGTGGAGACAGGTGGACCAGGATAAGTCCCTGGGCACCTAACTGGCCCTCATATTGGTGGCTACCCACCTTTCCAAACACTCAGGGCAATATCCACATATACTGGGCCAGCAGAAACAGTTCTTGACTTGGTTCTAGAAATAATTTATGTTGGCCTGGGGAAACCATTGTGGGTAGATAGCTTTTCATTGTTTACTAGATAATCCACTGCCTCATCCATGTGCCAACATTGAATTCTTGTCATCTGACTTCCAATCAGAAGTCTCATTAGTGAGGGTCGGGGTGGCAGGAGGCAGGGATGGGAACCTGAAGCGCTTGAGGAGGTAAAAGAGGTCTGCATCTTTGCAGGCTGACTATAAGACCAGTGTCAAAGTTGTGAGTTTGTTGTCAACAGTCACAAATACTGTTCCCTTTTTGGCATGTCCTTCCAAGCCCAGCTTTCCCCATATCCACACACACAGGATGCTCTTGTTAAAAACTACAGTGGTAGAGTGAAAAGATGGCTACCAAGCGATTTATGCGTAACCCCTCTCGTTGACACTTTTTCACATGAAGTGGAAACGGAGTTCTATATTCCAAACCATGACAAGTCGCATCTAGACTGCCTCCTAACAGAGCTTGTGGCCAAAAGCCTGTTCCCACTGAGTGCACCACCGTTTAGCCACAGAAGGCTGGAGAGCAAGAGTGCAAGACAGCCCTGGCCAAAACATGTCCTGTGAACCGACTCCTTCACACCATGTGCAAACGGGATTCTCTGGTGCCAACACTAATCATTCCTTATCAACTAGGATGGGTCTTACAAACTGCTACCATGAATTTTTTTTTTTTCAGGTGGTAGTGAGAAGCTAGGTTTTAAAAAGTGCCTTTTGATTCATTGTTGTCCATTAACTTTTAAAGTACTGAATAGGTAACAGTGACTCAAATGTTGACTATTTCAGTCTTTAATGGGTGCCATTTTAAAAATGCAAAATGATATATTTTTTTTTACTGGTTTGTTCACTGTCAGTGTATCTTGCATAAATCACCCCTGTGGGTGATTAAATTGCACTAATATTTCCCAACTTACTCTCATTTGTGAAATATATCAATACCGACTTCCTGTAAGACCCATCCATGACCTGACTTGGCTGGCTGCTGTGTGGTATTGTTTCTGGTCTGTGTTCATATTCATGTAACTCGCAAAGCTGGGGGGTTGAGGGGAGGGGAATGTGTTAGTGCTTTCAGCCTCCAGGAAGGCCTACCTCAAACCTTACTCTAACACTGTTTCTGTGATTCATGGTTCCTGTACACCAAGCATGTCAAACTCTCAGCCTGCAGGCCACATGCCTCGTTTATTTGGCCTGTGTTAGCCTTTGAGTTTGATGTTTGCTGTACACTGTAGGGTCCCAGAGTTCAAGCCTAGTGGTCAGGTAATTTTAGGCCCTTTTCTCTCTTTCTAGGTGAATTTCAATTAGGAGTTGGGAGGGTAGAAACCCAATTGTAGGCCACAGAGCTAGCCCACTTCAGGTGGGGGAGGGAACCTGAATAAGGCCCCATTTTGAATGAGGGCCTGGGTGTGAAGGAGGTATTGGGATATCTCCTTTTCCCTTTCTTGCCTCCCAAATTAAATGTCTCAGCAACCAGCGCTCATAGTTCTGTAAAATAGCCTGCACACCTTAAATTTATTTTTATGCTTCTGTAGACACCATTTCCTGCCCCCCCGCCCCTCATTTTTCAAAACTGTGACAATATACTCCAAGCAGAAGGTAATTACACTCGTCCTTTAAACACATCTCTGCTGTTTACCAGACCTAGTTTTAGTACAGCCCTTCTGGATACACTGAATGGATGGTGTTAAGGCTGTAGAGCAGAAGTCCTCAATTCAGAAGCCATCCATTTTCTTTAGGTCCTTAATCTACCCCCAGCACTAAATTTTCTTGGTCCAACCTTCTTTTATAGTGCTGCTGGCCTTTTGGGCACACAAATCACCTGGCCAATTGATAGAAGAAGAGAGTTATTTTCTTAATTGCTACCTTTTCCAAAAGACCACAAAATGACTCAAAGAGGGTTTCAGTGCAAAAGAACACACACACCTTATAATTTTTCCACTTGGGTATTTCACCTTTGAACTTACCAATTTTAGGATGGAGAAGTCCAATTATGAACTTTCCTTGCAGCCTGATTTAATCTTTAAGACTCTAGCTGAACCCATATTTAAGCCTAAACTATTGATGAGAAAGACTCAAAAGAAATAAGACAAACCTCAAAATGAGATTATAATTTGTGTTACAAATACCCAAGAAACTATTTTCTTTACATTGTTATTGCCATATACTTTTTAGCTTGTTTACAACTTCACATAACTGAAGAGTTTTTTTTGTTTCTCGGCTCTAGCCCCTATAGACCCCACCCTCATCAGCTGTTGTCTGATCCACAAAGGTCAGAAGTTGCTGATCTTCTGCAGCAGGGTCTGGCGCCGCTCCTCGGGGCTAATGTTCTTGGCAATGGACTTTAAAAAGTGCTGCTCATTTACCTTCTGGAGTAAGGCGCTGATAGAAGGGTTGGTCTTGCTCAGAGTTTCATAGCAGGTGAGGATTTCCAAGGCCAAAACGTAGAGTGGTTCACACACCTCTTGGTGGAGCATGGCCATGATGTGCAAAACATGACAGAATACCTGAGTATAAAAAAATAGGGCTTCCTGGGTCAGGTCCTGTTCTTCTCCTTGGGCCCAAGGGCCAACTGACCGTATCAACCTAACTGAGTCCAGGAGGCTGGTCAGACTGCTACAGAGGAGTTTGACCACATGGCTCCAGCCTTCCATAGGAAGCCAGTTGCGACAACTCTGGCTGCAGAGAAACTGGAAAGCTCTCAGGAGGAGAACGGAGAGTTGGAGCTCCTGGGCCAAGGGCTTCAGGTTGAGCAGAGGAACAAACTGAATATATTCCAGACTATAAGGGACATGTAGGAGTTGTTTCTCCAACAGTCTCCTGGTCAACTGGAAAAGGTACTGCCACTCCTGGGTACTGCACCAAGGCATGACTTGCACCAGGGCTACCAGAAAGCCCTTGCTGAACAATCTGACCTCCTCAGGGTTGTCCACACCCACCACTAAGAGGGAGAGCATCCGCTCGGAGATGCTGCTGGAGAGGCAGCAGCACTCCATCCAGGCAAGGAGCCCTGTGCCGGGCCCATACCCAGGGTGGGCCTGGGAGGTCCATTCATCCTCAGAAAGCTTACAGATCTCAAAAAGTGTGGCTGGCACCTCACACTTGAAGTGGCCCTCAAAGAAGTTCTTCAGTCTCAGGTTCACAGTCCAGTCTAGCTGCTCCAACTTCCGGTGGAGCCAGGACAGGGACTTGATCCAGGTGTCTGGGGAGAAGGTCTCGGCATTTGCTAATACGATCTCACAGAGGAGCTCCAGGATATGGACCACCATATCCTTCCCATCCAAAGAGAGGCAGCGCTTCTCCTTGGGGAGCTGCCAGTATTTACTGAAGCAGTCCAAGAGCTGACACAAGCTGAAGATGAGGGGAAACGGAGAGCAGGTTTGGAGCCAGTATTCCTCTAAGCAGGCATTTACTTCGAGGGTCTGAATAAATATCTTCAGACTGAGATCGACCTCTTCAACATCTAGCATCAAGAAAGGCAGGACGAATTCCCTGACAACCTCATCTGGCTCAAGAAGGGCCGCAACTGGAATTCCCTGGGGTTTCATGGGACTCATCAGGCATCTCAGGAGCTCCAAAAACTGCTTTTCTTCCTTGGGTGTAGAGAACTTTGTCCAGACGGTTTCTCTGAGGCATGACACGACAAACGTGGTGGACAGATTTGGACCCTGCTCTTCCGTGAACCTGAGGGCTGGGAAGGCAGTGAGAATCTGAGCCAGGAACTTGTGGGTGCCGAGATTGACCACAGCCATGCTGCACATTTTCTTCACGGTGATCTCTGGGTGCAGTATCACCAGGCGGGCCACAGAAGCTACAGCCTTAGTCAAGCCATGTTCGGAAGCACTCTGTGCAAGCTGGTTAAAGGTCGTGTTGAGGTCTTCCTGAAACCCCTCCAAGTAAGCCAACAACTTCTCAGAGAGGCCCTTTCGCCCCCAGGCAACCAGGATACCTGAGAGGACTTTATTTTTATCTGGCAGTGAGAGGCCTGCGTAACATTCCAGGATCAAGTCAATCACTTGTTTGATCTGAGATTCAGGGATGGCTCTGTCTGTCGTGCTGACTTCCACCACAGTTTCCAGCAGCTTTAATACCAAATCTGGCTCTCGGAAGAGAGACTGGTTATTAACCAGGCAGGTAAGCCACTCATCTGAGAAGGCCCACTTCTTCTCAGAAGCAAAAATGTAGCACATTTCCATATGCCGATCCATCTTTTGCTCAATAATGGCCATGGCAATTGAGGCAGTAATGTCTTTCTCCAAGCCCTCGTTGAGTACCTTGTTCGTTTTCCTCAGGAAATCCCCGACGCACTCTGCCAGTTCAGAAACCACCTGCCTCTCCTCCTTGGATAAGCTGGTGGTACCCAGGTAAAGCTTCAAGTTCTGGCTGAAAGAAGTCAGACTGTCACACAGCCGGTAACTGTCATAATTTGTCCCGTGGGTGCTATTCAGCATGGCCTGCAGCTCCTCCCCCCACTCCCGCAGAAGACTGCGCATGAAGTCAAACCCGGCAAAAATCGTTTCATTCGGGAGTCTGGCCAGCGAGCTCAGGTTGACATCCCGTTCTGCCTCCTTTACCTTCTCTGCCAGTGCCTGCTGGTGATATGGGTTCTGGGTGTCCGAATTCCACACAGAGATCACCGTGGCCAGTTTGTCTAGATACACATGTGCAGACACTTCCTGAGGGTCATCCTCCATCAGTGCAAACACGGTCAGCATATCAGCCAAATTGGCTAATGCACAGCACTTCATCCCAGGGCCCAAGATTCTATTTTGGATTTGCTTCAGTCCAGTGAGCAGCATGGCCAACAAAGGCATGGTAGGACACACATCAGGGTCTGACTTAAACCTCTTTGGAGGATGGGAGAACTCATCTGAAGAGGATAAGTACTTATTAGCCATTGTCCTAAACTGAGAGAGCAGGGGGTCCTGCTGATTGTCCTTGTGCTTCATCATTTCCCACCAGACATCGAGGAAGAAGGCCACATCCTTTGAAGAAGTATCAATAGCCATGTGCTCCAAAAAGCGCTCTAGTTCTGCACGGCAGATGGTGGTAGGGAGTGCCATCAGGAGCTGGATAAAGAGTCCAGAAGCTTCCAGGGACTTGAGCAGCTCAAAAAGAACTGTGTGATTGATGGTAGGGATCATGTTGCCTACTGAGAAGAACACATCTTCCTGCCACCGAGTTTCAGTGTCAGAAGGGGTGACGGGGTAGGGCTGAAGAACCTTGGCCCAGATGATGACCAGAGCTTTCCTCTTCCAGGCAAAGGACTGGGAGCATGCTGTGGCGGAGATTTCCCTCAAGGCCTCCACAATGGGCCGCCCAACATGCTCCCAGTCAGACTTTGTCAATTCTGCCAGTGCTTTGGGGTGGAACAGCTGCTCGGCCAGCAAAAAACCCCCATGCAAAATAGTCATTTCTTCACAGATATTCAAGGGTCCTGCACGGAGAGAAGCCGAATAAGATAGAGTGTGGTGACAAATTTCAAAATAGTAAGCAGAAGTTAGAAGGAAAGATAGCAGTTGGTAGGTTGGCTGTTGGGATCAGGGTTAGAGATAAAAGTTCTAAATAGGATCAGTGGGAGAGGGGGAAGAAAGCAGTGATTCTAGGAGCCACTGCAGAGTTGGAGTAAAAAGGACTTACTTGAGGAATAGAAAAGGACTCCCAAACTCTAGCTTGGAACTGGGAAGACAACAGGCACCATTGGAGATAGGGACACAGAAGACTCAGAACAGGTTTGGAGGGAATCTGTTAAGTTTTGGTTATTTGGAGTTTGAGGTATAAATTAAGGTAGAAATGCCCTCCAGCAATGGAAATGCAAGGCTGAAGCTCAGGAGGAAAGTCAGAGGGGATCAATGGAACCAATGAAGTGAGATCTCTCAGGAAAAGCATTTGAAAAGGAAAAGCTGGGCTACAGAGGCTAGACCAGCCATGGGCAAACTACGGCCTGCAGGCCGGATTTGAAATGAATAAAACTAAAAAAAAAAAAAAATACCGTACCCTTTTATGTAATGATGTTTACTTTGAATTTATATTAGTTCACACAAACACTCCATCCATGCTTTTGTTCCGGCCCTCAAGGTACAGTTTAAGAACCCATTGTGGCCCTCCAGTCAAAAAGTTTGCCCACCCCTGGGCTAGACCCTCCAGCAAAAGATGGGCCAGCAGAGGATTTGGGGAAGATGGGTTTAGAGAGAAAGCACAATGACAGTATCAAACTACAGGGACCACAAAATATATATTGCAGGACATGAAACTGAGCTTATAAATTATGATACAAATTAAAAGGCACATGGCCCAGGGCTGTGGGCATAGAAGCAAGCAGACAAACCCTACCTCCCCCCTTTTCTCTCATGGCCTTGCCCTGCAAACAGATTTCGGCCTTTCAGGGAAACAATTCATCCCATGGCTTCTTCCAACAAGAACAGCTACTCATGGCCCTGGTTCTCTGGTAGAAACCACGGGGTAGATAGAAAAAATAATGCACTACATTAAGTTCTCCCTTCAGTGACCCACAGACTTATCAGTGAACTGACACATATTTATCAAGGAAGGCATCTTGGTCTGTTTAATCAGACATGAGTTTAGCTCAGCCATTTAAAAGCAGTCATCTTGGACAGATGACTTCTCTGAGCATCCCTTCGGTTTATGTGGGATAATACAAACTTCATATAATGATCATGAAGATCCAATGATATATACTAGTCAAGCTCTTGGCACCAGGTTGGTGCTTACTGTTAGCTCCTGATCCCGCCTCCCAGAGATAGTGAGAGTTAAACAAGATATAGCTACAAAAAGAATCAGGATTCAAAGAGCCTGATTCAGTGCTCAATAAATGTCTTTCCCCAAACCTTTCATTTTGACAAGAACAGAATCTTGTCACTATTCTTGGCCTCCCTGAACTCAGAAACATGAAGACAGACCTTTCTCAGGTGTCTCCTTTGGCCCAGAAACGAAGTCAGATCCCAAATACTACTGCTCAATAATCAATATTCCTGTCTCTCCCCTTTCCCAGGACCCAGAGATGCCACCCCTTTCTCAGTCCTTCATATTCCCAAGAACCCATCTTCCCAGACTCCTGATTCCAGCAGATTAAAGAGTATCCTGCTCCTTGAACCATTTATGGGAGCAGCAAAAAGGCCAAGAGCTCAATCGGCACTCCTATGCAGATCCTGGGGAAGGCAATCCGCCCTGGCTCCAGTGGCGAGGCCGACTCCCACGGAGGGTTAGGTTGCTCAGGGAGCTCTGGACCTTCTTTCTAGCTCAGGCTACTGTCCAAGGCACCAACATATGTTCCCTACGATTCTGTAAAATGAATATTACTGCGCTATCAGTTCAGCTGAGATGTCTGGCCTCTAACAGCTATTGTCCAGAGAGACTCAAGTATAAGTCCCAGGAGCAGTTGAAAGCTGGGTAATTCCCCAGTGTTTTGTCACTACTGGTTAACGGTGCTTCTGAGTGCCCGCTCCTTTATATGTACTCAGTGCTGCTTGTGCCAGGTGGCACTCACGTAAGGTCTCTTTAAGTCTTCATGTCAACCTTTTGAGGACCATATTACTCCTGTTTTAGAGACGGGAACATGGAGACTCAGAAGCCATTTGCTCAGGAGAGCGCAACTACAAGGCTGTTGGGCAGAATCACCACAGCTGTAAGGCTCTGGGGGAGGCACCCAGGGGAGCCAGAATGCTAGGCCTCCCCACCACCGCCTGCCATGCACAACTTGAGCGCTCTTTGGAGCACGTGGCTATTGGCACAAAGTGAAGAGCTGGCTGGGGCCAAGGACCAGAACTTTTCTCCACAGGCCCAGTATTGCTGGCACACCTTGGGGTGCCTCCTCCAGCTCCCCCAGAGCCATCTCCTAGTCCTATCCCCTTAGGAGCATGTCCAGAAGGGTAAAAAGCTGGGCCGGGAGCCGCTGATTTATAGCAGCTCCCCCCTCCCTTCTCCCAAACTTTGCCTCGGAATTCTGAATCAAGGCGCACGTGCACTCTGCAGCCACAACCCTCCCCACAACCGCTAGTCTGATGAACGCCAGCTCCGTGCAACGCGCTGCACCGGGCGCTGTAAACACGTGATCTCAAGGAAAACTCCCCCAAACTCTGCAGTGGATACATCATCATCTCCGTTTTACTATATCTACGAGGACCTCCTGAGCCTAAGTCACTTGCTAAAGAACTCATCAGACATCCAACCGAGACCGTCGGGCACCCGGGATCCCCCCGAGCGTCCTCCCAGCCCGGCAACTCCCAAATCACCTGCACGCACCCTCTTTACTTTCAGGGAATCTTCCCTTCACAGCCGTTTGGCGCTTCACGTGGAAAGGGCCCCAAGGGCCCCAAAGCGGCGCGGCCGGGGCTGGAACCGGGTCTCCCGAACCCCCGGTCTCTGAGGAACCCCCTGTTCTCCAAACCGCCCCCCAACCCGGGGTCTCCCTCAGCCCGGGCCGCTCGGCACCGCCCTGGTCGCCGCGGCGGGAGGTAGCCCAGGCGGGCTCGGGGAAGGGAAGCCGGGACACCCACCTAAGTCCATGGCGGCGTCGCGGGCGCAATGCGGCGAGTACTGCGCCGGAACCACGACACAATGGGCGGCCCGGGGGGCGGGACCAAGGGCCGCGCCTCAGCCCCCGCCCACGGTCTCAGCCCCGGCTCGGCGCGGGCAGCCGCGGCTCCCTCCGCTCGGCGCGCACGCGCGGTCCTCACCGACCAGCCCGCGGCGTCCGGGCGCCAAGCCCACAGCGCCCTCTGCCGGCCCTCCAACAGGTTGGTACGCGCCCCGCCCTGCGGCCGCTGCGTGCCCCACCCCGCCCCTCCCTCTCCGCGGGTGCCCACCCTGGCCACCCGGCCCCCTCCGCTTCCCCTCTCCTTTCGGGCACCCGCCGGTCCAGTCCACTGCCCAGCCCTGCCTCCTGATCCCAGTGGGTCCTACCCATTAGCTCCGTTCCCAGCCCCGCATTCGGCTCCCCCCCCCCCCCCCGTCACCCCGGGACCCCCCGCAGTTTACACACACTGAACGCCCCTCGCAGGCTGCCCACTAACCAGCACGGACGCACCCTCTGTAATGCCAGGCTTCTCCCCCAGCAGCGCATCTCCCCGTCTCACGCTCTGACCACCTAGCGCCACAGCCTCCCAAAGCGTCCCCATTGCTCCTCCTTCAGAACATAGCAGCAGCTCCTTAATTTTCTGGCATCGTAGACGCCTTTGAAATGTGAATGGTCGTCCTCCGCCCCAGAAAATGCACAGTGCAGGACCAGAACAACTGTGTGTGTGTGTGGGGGGGGGGGGGGTGAGGGGGGAAGGAGGGGCAGTGAGGGCAGATCCAGTCCAGTGGGCCCATTTGGTTTTTCACTGAGAACACAAATATCCCCTGTTTTCCCATATATATATCACCCTGTCTCCTTTTCTCCCTTTCCCTTCTTCCCAGACTTAATCACTAGCCCCAAGTGTTTCTAGTTCTTCACCCTCCAGCTTCTAGGACCAGGTATCACTTAAAAAAGCCAGAGGGGCCGAACCTCAGTTCCCGAAATGGGCCAAGTGGAATTTGAGCTGGCCTGCGCCACTCTGAAGCAGTTGAAGGGCCCTGTGAGTGATCAGGAGAAACTGGTGGTGTACAGCTTCTACAAACAGGCCACCCAGGGCGACTGCAACATCCCTGCCCCGCCTGACACAGATGTGAAAGCCAAGGCCAAGTGGGAGGCATGGAATGAGAAAAAAGGGATGACCAAGATGGACGCCATGAGGATCTACATTACTAAAGTAGAAGAACTGAAGAAAAAGGAAAATGGTTAAGGAGGACAAGGAGTCAAACAATGAAGTAGCAAGGCTCCTCTGGTAGGGAAATGGGCTTCTTAAAAGACCTTGATGGCTGAAATGTCCCCAAACCGTGGCTACCGTAGCTGAGACCTCAATAAATCTTTTAAAAACTGCGTGAGCCCTAACCGCTTTGGCTCAGTGGATAGAGTGTCAGCCTGCGAACTGAAGGGTCTCAGGTTCGATTCCAGACAAGGGCATGTACCTTGGTCGTGGGCACATCCCCAGTAGGGGGTGTGCAGGAGGCAGCTGATCGATGTTTCTCTCTCATCGATGTTTCTAACTCTCTATCCCTCTCCCTTCCTCTCTGTAAAACTCAATAAAATATATATTTTTTAAAAAGCTGCACGGAAGTGCACGTCTGCTGTTCGAACAGCAATGAACTCAAAGTGATTGTGAGAGTACCGGGGAGCTGACCGAAATGCGTTAAGTGCATCTCTCCTCTAAACAAAGTTCCATCAAATCTGGCCTTGGGTATGATTCTACGTTTTCCCAGCCTTCCTACGCGCACATCATATGTAGATATTTGACAGCAGTAGAGGGGTGGCAGAGAATCAGGCTAGGAAAATGCCCAAGGTTTGAAGTCCATGACAGAGGCTCTGCTTCTGGGGGAGGAGGGAAGGCCAGGAGGCCGAGGCGCCTTATCTCATCAGGGGCTGTCCATTCACTATTAACCCAGCATTTTGGAGGGGAAGAGGTGTTATCTTCCAAAAAGCTGTCAAGTCCTACTACCAAAAGCCCCTACTGGAACACAGGCCTGATGAAGTTCATGTGTTGAGGGAAGACAGACTTGTAGCAAGTAACTGTTGCATCACAACACAGCAGTGGAGAAACACTGGAGCAGATGGTTTCAAAATCCCCGCTCTGAAACACTCATCAAGGCCTAGCGACCAAAATTTTCTTGGGACTACTGTGTAGCTAATCCTGGTTTCTACTTGGGGATGTTTGTGGGACAACATGTACATGTATGTATATGGGATTTGTTTCAGGAGCAAAACAAATCCTCTGACCCATGCAAGAGCCAGAGTGCCTGAGCTCAGCTTCCACTCCTTAGTATTGATATCATGGCGGCATCAATGCACAACATTGCACTGGGATATGGAGGCTAAACGATATTAGAGACATTTTAAAGCAAAAGGTCTGTTGTGGTATGGAATTTCCCAATGTTTTCCCTTAATTAAAAAAAATGTTTTGGGGGCTAGGGTTATCCATTGGGGACTGGCTTTAGCTCTTTTGGCCCTGCTCCATTCCTTGGGGCTAAGCTAGGCTCTTAGGGGCAAGAGACTCTGACCTGGACTGGGCTCCACCCTTTGGCACTAGGCTAGGCCATTTGGAACTAGGTCGGACTCCTTCTGGCTAAGCTTCGCCCTTTGAGGCTAGGCTTGGCTCTTTGGGGTTAGCTCAGCTTTTGGGGGCTACACTCAGCGCTTCAGGACTAGGCTGGGCTCTTTGGAGCTAGGCTTGGTTTTTCCAGATGAGGCTGGACTCTTTGGGGCCAGGCTTGGCTTTTAGGAACAAGGGTCAACCCTTTAGGATTAGCTTCAGCGCTGAGGGTGAGGCTCGGCCCTTTGGAGCTATGTTTGGCTCTTAGAAACTAGGGTCATAAAGAAAAACACAGACACTATTTTCATACTTCATGACATTAGGTTAGCTCCAGTTCATGAAGGGCTAGTAAACAACAGAAGCAACAACCATAAAGGCCTCAGAGGAAACCAAACCTCACCAGATATCTTTGAGATCTTCTGTTGACATATTTGCAGGAAGTTGCTACAGACTAAGTACATTACTTAAGAATGAAGTATACCCATGCCCAGCCGGTGTGGCTCAGTGGTTGAGCATTGTCCTGTGAACCAGGAGATCATGGTTCGATTCCCGGTCAGGGCATATGCCCAGTTGTGGGCTTGATCCCCAGTGTGGGGCCTGCAGGAGGCAGCCAATTGATAATCCTCTCTAATCACTGATGCTTCTCTCTCTCCCTCTCCTTTCCTCTCTGAAATCAGTAAAGAGGTAATATGCAAATTGCCCTTCACAAGATGGCTGCCTACGACCAGGTTGGCAGGGGGGTTGGGTTAGTGAGGGACGACCAAACAACTGAACAGCAGGCTGCGTGGGATGACCAGGTCGGCCGGGGGTCCATGAGGGGTGACCAGGCTGGCGGGGGGGGGGGGGGGGGGGACAGGGGGGGCAGTTGGAGGCAACCAGGCCAGCAGCAGGGGGGCAATAAGGGGTGACCAGGAAGGCAGGTGAGCAATTAGGAGCGAGCGGTCCAGGATTGTGAGAGGGATGTCCCGGATTAGAGAGGGTGCAGGCTGGCTGAGGGGACCGCCCCCCCCCCCCCCCCCGCACAAATTTTGTGCACTGGGCCTCCACACTAATAAAAGAGAAACATGCAAACTGGTGTCACTCCGCTATGCCCACCAGCCAATCAGGATGAGTATGCAAATTAAACCAGCAAAGATGGCAGTTAATTTGCATATGCAGGCACAGAGTGAAGACTGAAGACTGAAGAGACTTGGCTTCTCTGCTGCAGCTGGAGTGAAGGCTTGGGTCCCAGGTGCTGGAGGAAAACCAGTGCCGGCAGCCAAAGGAAAGAAGGCCTATTGCACAAATCTCTTCGTGCAACAGGCCTCTAGTATATATATAATTGATTTCAAAATTTTTTCCTCTTACTAGTAAGTGTACAACTATGCATGATGTAAATTAATGCTGTTTATCTACTTGGGATATTTTAGCTTTATGATATCAGCCCTGATATCATAAGAGGGATCTAGTATTGGTTAGTCATTCAGTACTTACATAAACCACTTATTTTACCATAAGAAATTTAGAAGTAGCCTAATACACTGGGGAAAGTAGAGTTTCACAAGAACAGTATTACTAGAGATACACATCGAGATTTACTTTAAAAAATTAATTATCTAATGGAAAAAATCTGAGAATTAACAAATCATAGTCTAAAAAACACAGAGGCTTATTTGATTATTCAAAATTCATACAATAATTTCCCCATGTATAAGCAAAAACAGTGAACCAACTGTCTAGAGGGGGAACATATCTAACTTGGTTTGCTTTGAAACTCACGACTGCTCCCTAAAACAGAGAATTTGAGTGCAAAGTTCTGTGAAGCCAGAAAGGGATTTTTTTCTCTCGGTGAAGGTAAGATCAATGATTAGAGAGAATCGTTGATCGGCTGCCTCCTGCACATCCCCTACTGGGGGATGTTGTCCTGACTGGGAATTGAACCTTGGCCTCCTGGTTCATAGGTTGACGGTTAACCATTGAGTCACTCCAGCTGGGCATGCCCACCACTTTATTGACTTCAGAGAGGAAGAAGGAGAGGGAGAGAGAGAGAGAGAGAGAGAGAAAGAGAGAGAGAGAGAGAGAGACATCAATGATGAGAGAGAATAACTAATTGGCTGCCTCCTGCATGCTCCCCACTGGGGATCATGCAGCAACCAGCCTGCAACCTGGACATATGCCCTTGAACAGAATCGAACCCGGGACCCTTCAGTCCGCAGGCCAACGCTCTATCCACTGAACCAAACCGGCTCGGGCTGCTCACCACTTTATTTATTTTTATTTTTTTTATTATATTTATTTTTAAAATATTTTTATTTCTTTCAGAGAGGAAGGGAGAGTGAAAGAGAGATAGAAACATCAATGATGAGAGAGAATCATTGATTGGCTGCCTCCACTGGGGATGGAGCCCACAACCGAGGCATGTACCCTTGACCAGAATTGAACCCAGGATCTCTCAGACCGCAGGCCGATGCTCTATCCACTGAGTCAAACCAGCTAGAGCTGCTCACCACTTTAAATAATGAATCTTACAGGTTGGTATAATAGCTTGATTTTAGAAGTATATCTTCAAAAAACATTTAATAATAAATGTGCCCAATATAATTAATGTTTCCAGTAATTAAAATGTATTTGTTCTACAGAACCAAACAGAAAATTACACAAAAACATTTAAAAAAATTTTTTTCAAGCTAAAGAAATCGTCTAATCCATTTTAAAGAAATTTAATGTGGCCCTGGCGGGCTTGGCTCAATGGATAGAGCGTCAGCCTGCGGACTGAAGGGTCCCAGGTTCGATTCCGGCCAAGGGCACATGCCTGGGTTGCGGGCTCGATCCCCAGTGGGGGGTGTGCAGGAGGCAGCCGATCAATGATTCTCTCTCATCATTGATGTTTCTATCTCTCTCTCCTCCCTTTCTTTCTGAAATCAATAAAGAAATATCTACACTAATAAAAGAGAAAAATGGTAATTGGCATACGGCGATACTGTTTTCATTGGCTAATCAGGGCTATATGCAAATTAACTGCCAACTAAGATTGGCAGTTAACTGCCAACAAGATGGCGGCTGATTTGCATACGTAGGCACAATGCAGGGAGGCGAAAGGGAAAGCAGGAAGAAGCCCCCTGCCACTGACAGTGATCAGAAACCCAGGGGGGAGCTAAGAGCTGGGGGACAGGGCAAAGGCAGCCCTGGGGCCGCCTTTGCCCTGCCCCCCAGCCATGATCGGAGAATCAGGCGCCTTTGCCGCCCTGGCCAGTGATAGCAGGAAGTAGGGGTGGAGCCAGCGATGGGAGTTGGGCACGGTCGAAGCTGGCAGTCCCAGGAGCTAGGGGTCCCTTGCCTGGGTCTAAAGCGAAGCCCACGATCGAGGCGCCCCCCGCTGCCACTGCAGGTCCCCGCTGCCGGGCCGGACGCCTAGGCCAGAGGCGTTAGGCCTGGGCAGGGGCGGAGCCTGCAACCGCGGGGAGCTGGGGGTCCCCTGCCCAGGCCTGACACCTCTGCCGGAGGCCTCAGGCCTGGTCAAGGGGCCGATCCGGTGACTGGTGATCGGAGGGTGATGAGGGTCAACCCTCTGGCCGAGGCATCAGGCCTGGGTGGGGGGCGGAGCCGGGGATTGGGGGGATATGATGGTCCCCTTGCCCAGGCCTGAAGCCTGGGTCAGAGGCGTCAGGCTTGGGCTGGGGGTGGAGCAAGCGATCAGAGGGAGATGGGGGTCCCCTGCCCAGGCATGATTCCTGGGCCAGAGGCCTCAGGCCTGGGCGGGGGCCAGAGCCAGTGATCGGGGGGAGATGGGGGTCCCCTGTCCAAGCCTGACACC